ATATTAGTCAAGCTAATCCCTCTGTGATTATCACAAGACGTCTTGTCCCCCTTCTTGTATATCGGGATGATCAGTGACTTACACCAACCCGATGGGACTTCCTCTGATTCCCAGACGCTGCCTAGAACCTCCGTTAACGCAGACAGTAAACTGTCGCCTCCGTACTTAAATACCTTTCTCCTTTTCACTGATCCGTTCAGGCGGACAGCGCACATTCGGCTATCTACCGGGATCCAGTCAAGTAATGTCTTTTCTGCTCTAGTACTTAAAGCTATCCCAACACCAGCTAATCCTCGTGAGCTAGCCGTCGCATCTCCTGACACCCTCAAGGTGAATTTTGCAGATTCATCCTGTTGGCCAGGTGGGGTTAGGTGAATAACCACACTTGGGTCTTGTATGCGTGTTTCTGAAACACAACATACATCAATGGCTCGGGATGCCAGAGTCTTGGCTAGTGATGCTTGTTGTCCTATTTGGCAAAGTGTCCTAACATTAAATGCTCCTATATAAAATTGGTGGCGTGGTTTTAGGAGACAATCGGTGGTGGCTTTTTGGCTTCCATCGTTATCAGTGCACACAGAGTGAAGGGGAAGTGAAGAGCCAACAAGTAGAGGAGTTGCATTGGTAGAAGGAAGGCAAGATAATAGAGATGAAGACGAAGATGAGCGAGGATTAGAGAGGTTTCGCGTGCACTTCGGATTGTGAGGGCGATAGTTACTTCCCGGCTGCCCACACCGTGGAAGTTGGTTGCGTGACCGCAGAGCCCAGGGGACAACTGCTTGAGGCCGGTCACACACGGCCTGTTTTTGTTTGTTCTTTTTTATTTGGTGTGTCTCAGTAGCGTATTTATCACCTCTGCCCTGTGACACGGCAGCAGAAAGCGCGGTCGTTGTTAATCCGGGCCCCGACCGATCCGGCATGATATTTTGTGATTTATTTGAAATCATAGGATTGGATTGGGTAACTGCTTTTAGTCTAACTGCTATCCAAACAACCTTTCTGGCATGGTAGGACCTGCAGGAACATAAGTTCCAGCCAGTATAGCTTGTTGGGTCATTGCAGTGTTCAAGCCCGACCACCACGTCAAGGTAGCAGCTTTCGGTCGGCTACTGAACATAAGAATTGATTGCAATATAATTTCAAAGAGAATGGTCCAAATTAACTAAAATGCTGACTGCCTAATAGCATTGATGAATCACCGTTATGCTCACTAAAATTTTCACAATTCGAACACCGAGTACGCCAAAATTTGAGGTTAACACCATTTGCAGACACAAGAGTTGAAAAGCATTGATTAAGGCAGAGAAATATTAGGGGAAGGTAAATCAACAAAAACCATACATTCAGAATTCAAAAGGTGACAACACATTGTGAGGTATAAAAATGCTAATGGATTTAGTTACACTTGCACTGATTGCCTCATTGTCACATTTAATATTTTACGAGCAACATCTAAAAAACCAAATAACACTACATTTAACTATCAAACGGTCGTCTTTTATGCAGGATTGCTATCGGATTAGGCAAAACTAATAAACTACTAAAATTTCTGAAGTTTATTTACACATGACTAACAAGAGGTTTCGCGAGCATTCTACATAACAGTTATGAAAGGGATGATTAGTTTGATATTTTAGTTGTAGGTTCTTAATTCCGAAAACAAACTGACAGGATCTTCGTAGAAAAACAAAGCGAAACAATCTGCATTTTATCAAAATATAGTATAACTAAGAAGTTGAAGCTTAGAATAACCTCAACATATAGTGTCTGTAAGAATTATGAGAGAACAAAAAGTCCATAATGGCAAGGAATTAAGCAGTCACTATAGACCAGAACTTAGGCCTAGTTGGAATTAAATCGGCTCAATAATGAAATTTTTTAAAAACCCAGATAAACTTTATGCGAGGAGATAAAGAATTATCTTACCTGGCTAGGAGAATGATGGGATAAAAATGTACGTAACCTGGAACAATGGCGATCATCCACAAATTGACCGACCTATTTCCGTATTAGGTAACTGAAGGTAACTTACACTAATCTTTCCAGTGGAAGCATTCAGTAAGCCTATCCCAAAAGTAAAGGAATTATTTTCGTTGTTTTGTAGTTCGGTTAGTGCAAGCAGATACGAGTCCAAATGTACAGAGTCCATGGAATCCTTAGCATTCTCATCCTCAAAATCTCCATCGTTCATAACAACGGATCTGACATCAGAAATCTCCGAACGAGTACTGGCTGTGCATGTGCCTGGAGTTATAAGTTGGCATATTTCTCTACGAACAACTCTTTCACTTGAAGATTTCCCTCTACATCGTTCTGTCATAGCATCAACTGATTCCGTCTGTTCAACACGAGCAACTTTATAACCCTTGAAATTATGTGATCATAGCAGATTGCAGGTACTTACTTTGTGGACAAGTTGGTCAGCCATCCGAGCGAAAGCAACCTCAGGAAATCCACAGTGAGCGAAGTTCCCCTTCATAAAAACTAAACCAAGTTCTTTTACACCGACCATGGCATCCATATGGTACATTTCATAGAACTTCCCAACTTTAAAGAATAGGATTACGTCATAATACCGCGACTTCATTTCCCACCATTGACGCATCCCCGGCGATTGTTTAGCCTAAAATTAGAAATGGGAGTTAAGAGCAAACCTTAAATTCTTCCGGGACGTATAGTGTGCAAGGGTCGTAGTTCGGATGATCCGGTTTCCTACCGTTTGCATCTTTGATCTTATAAGGGTCTAAGAAAGGGAGAGTTAAGTGAGTCCATGACATGCAGTCGTCATCGAAGAAAGACTCATTGGTCTCTGTAATTCCACTAGTCTCTAGTTGCGAAATATCTGTATCTTCCTCTCGTTTTGCAGTCTGCTTTTTCACCAATTGAGGAGAGTGACAAAAACTTGATAACTACCAAAGAAATCACGAAGCGAAAGAAAAACCCACATCACGTTTAGCTGAAATTTCTGTTTTCGACTCCGAAAGAATGGAAGTTTCATTTTCATCCTCGTCACTCGACTCGATGATTACCCGACGTCTTTTACTAACAGATGAAGTAAGGTCTTCAGAAAAAACCTACAAATAAACTTATTATTGATTAAGATGCAAGTGACTTCACCTCTGCTCGAAATCCATTTGATGGACTTCGGCATGAAGACGCCTCAGTTAATGAGCTCTTGTCTTCTAATACTGGTGGACATGTTTTGTTCGAAGAGTCAGCCAGTGGCTTGGAAGAGCGCGAGAAAAAGTTCAACAAACTCCTCTGCATTTCTCTATTCGGAGCAAGCGCGCATATTGAAGGTCTCTCTTATCGCGTCAAGGAAACAAGTCAACAACTAGTTGTCCGTAAGCTACAAGTATCCAGTCTATGATATTTTATCTGAACTGATGGTCGGTTTCAAATAAAAAAGAGAGTAGTTCACAAAACTTATACAAACAAATGGCTTTCAGGACATTTTACATTTGCAGAGGACTGGTGGGTCAGTAAAAAATGGGACTGATGAGGAAGCTTAAATGAAATTAACAGACACATTAAAATGTGTCGGTTAACCTTTTTTATCTTGTTTTAGTCCTCGAGAACTATCGCGTAAACCACTTTGAACTAGTAGTGAAATGAGGAGGTACTTCAAAAAAACGTATGGGATCCGGTTGTTGTTGCAGCAATAGAGGACTTTCGGATAGTCTGCTAAATATATGTATACAAATATATCAGTCATCTGTATCAAGAATCACAGTAGACGCAGTAAATTTTTATTTGTCGTGTATGTTGAGTAAAATAGCGAAAACAAAAAGCAACATTTAGGTTGAAATCATGGTGTATTTGTTTCAAAATTTTAATTTTATATTCCATGTGTATATTCGAAAGATCTCGACTGATAAGATCATCCTTTAGTTCAAGATTTTGGTGCTGATTTTAAAACTAAGCCACCTAAAATAAAATTTTTCTCGTGGAAATCATTCAGTGTGGATGAAGTTGTCTGCGCTATACACGAAGTATTCAGTAAATATGACGCTGTTGTGGAGAAGCTTAAGAGCCGCCCTATAGAGTTTACAGATTTATCTGATTTCGGTTTTTGTCCTTTAAGATGAAGGGATCTCTGCACTGAGACCCTTGCGCAAATAGCTGACATTTCAACTATTCTTTATTTGCTTGGTAAGTCTGCATCCAGAGACAAAGTTCTGCTACCAAGCTCATCTTTTTTAACGCTGATGAGAAATCTCTTGCACTGAGGGGACCTTAGCTACCAAGGTCAAGACTGAAATGGAATGCAAGGCGAAAGGGATAGATAAGCAACAAGAACACTTTCTTTAGTCTCACCAAAACAACAATTGGCTTCTCAGACCACGAGAATCAACTACCGTTCATACTTACTAGGTCGGAAGAATAGCGACATACTCAAGTAAGCCTATTGCTCCTCCGGCCTAAAAGATCCAAGGCTTTGGACTGTTACACCTAGGTACTAGTGATAGCTTTGTGATAGCTAATTTCGCCTGCATGAAAAATGAATGTCTCCTTCCTTTTAAGCTCAAGTTTACCTTGATTTAGGTCACCCGCTTAGTACAGACTCTTATTCGAATCTCTTCTCCCATCACTACTCAATCGTACTACAAATGCAGAACACTCGAATAACCCTTAAAAGGGAGCAAGATGAAATTTAAGCAAAATTTATGCAATCAAACAAAAGACGAAAGCACTGTGGCTACTCGGCCGATTCCTGCACTGAGAAAATGCAGAGACATCACACAGGGTATCTAGAGAAAATAGAGCTTGCATACACTTAGTAGACATGTGATTAAATATGCGTGAGCACAGAAAATTCAAGTAAAATTTTCAGTTTACATGCCCGCTTGAACCACAATTAAAAACAGTGTTACAGCCACTGTAAGAATAACACTCTGAAGATAGAGAATGCTAGTCTTTTACCGAAATCCAAAAAGAAACCAAGTTAGTCCTTAGAGATTTATACTGAAGCCAAAGAAGTTGAAGGATGTGCTGTTTAACAAAATGTTTCACATACTGAAGGTACAAACCTTCGAATATGAAGTTATCCGTCATCCAAACACCAACAGTTCAAGGGCTGGATACAAAGTGATTCTCACTTAATAAAAGTGTGCTTTTAAACAAAAAGAGTACACCCGTTCAATGAACCAAAAATGGTCTAACTGGTATAAAATGAAAAATAGTACCGTTTGCAGGCGAAATATTAGACGTAACAGATAGCATGCATAATTTTGTGGATCATGCTTTGATGTAACGCTCTAGAGGAATCGCCTAACTTGTAACAACACGCCTGAAAATCCTCCGGCGCCGGCGGTTATGTACTGGAAAGTTTTCGAGTGTCCCAGCTTCCAACCTGTCTCCCAACACTCTTCGATCCATTACGCATTTATGACGTCTTAAACCAAGTTGGCATTCCTTGCAATCCACTCAACAGTCCTTACTAACCCGTTATTACCAAAGAATGCTTTTTCGATCTTTTTTAAAGGTTATCATCCCATATAAGTTTTGTCTGCTACTAGGAGTGGATCACCGAAAGCAAATTCCTATACGGCATTCACAATTTGCGTTATGTATGTGAATATTAGGACCTTGTAGACTACGAGCGAATCTAACTAATGCGCTGGCTAATCTGTCCCAATCGCACGTCAACAACAACAACAATACCGCCGGGCACGCAAGACAAATAAAAAAGACTGGACGTTGATACGAGAGCTTTTACTGTCTCTAACAACAGTCGAAAATGTTAAACAAAACTCCGTATTTATACAATTAGGGAAATCAATGTCACATTTTAAAAATATTAACAAACCATGGGAATTCAGTAATTAAAATCAACAATCACGCAGATGAGGGAAATCAATGATTATGCTAGTGTGTGAAATAAATAATGAATATTAATGATTCACCTGTGTATATATTAATTTGTCCTCCATCTTTTAGTCATAAGTCTTGGTTTTATGTTCACATCTATGCCTCCGTGACCTCTTAATAACAAATTATTTGGAGCTTAAGCGTCGAAATCTCTCCTAGGCGATAGCAGTTGGTCGTTCGGAATCCCCCAGATCTGCATCGACATATCCGCAATGGTTGTTGGCCAAGCCTTGGTTTTCAATCGTCTTCATGGTATCTTGGAACAACAGTTAATACAAGTGCCATTTCAAAACGCAATATCCTCATATTCAATCAAGCAAGCAAACAATCATGTCTTGCAGTCCTCTCCCTTTTTGCCAGACATGGTCCAAAAAAATCTACTCGGACATTCTCGAATGGTTAGCTTCCTCAGGATTTCGCCCAACTGTAAGGTGTGGCGTCATCCGTTGAGCTAGATGAGCATTCTTTCGTTTGTAATCCACACATTAATTACTCACTTCACAGATTGTAGCACAGGGTTCGTGTCTAGTAATTCTATCGAATGCTGAAAAACACTTTGAATGAACCTGTATTCCCCTCAAGTAGGTAACTGAGTTACTAAGTGGGTCGTGACAGGGAGGCTGTAAGGAATTGAGGCTGGATGAAATGTCTATTATGTTGTTTCAAACATTAGTAGGCGTCCAGCTAGTGTAGCAACTCCACTTGGAGTTACTGGAACTAATTTATCCAGCTGTAATCCAAATTTTGCATAGTCATGACAACTCTCATTGGTTATTTCACCAAATATTTCAAATGGGGTAGTCATCAAGACTGAAATATCCTCCCAGTGTATATGTGTATTATGAAAGTGCATTACTGCTGGGTCAGGCCATATTCGCTAGCTGCGAAGTTATAATAATACTAGTATATGCTCATTTTTTACGCCAGTTTACAGGCATCATCAATATGATAAATTACATATGCGATTAGTAAGCATATTTAATAATAGTAATTTAATAAAACATATTTTTTCCTACCTGTGTAGGACACACCAATTGTACAGGCATGGATAAGTATTATTTAAATTACATAAATTTGGTTAATGGTAAAATTATAAGGTTGCAGTCATTTTGTCTATGGGAACAATATGATAACAAGTCATTCAATGGAGTACGTCAAGAAATATAAAAATATTGTCTTCGCATTAACAAAAAAACCCAAGTATGTTTTGAATGGATTACAAATACTTGGGAAAAAAATAAAGCTTGAAGTAATTCCTCCATATAACTTTGGCGTGTACGGCATCGAGTCTTATTCTTGATTTATATCCAAATTTGATAATAATTTAAGATAAGTAATACACTTGCATACTATTGTCAGCATTTTCTTCGTAACATCACAAGGGAATTGTACTCAATGTGAACTAATAATAATGAGAGTTTGTATTTTCTTATGAATGGGTGTTTTCAAGAGATGCAAGCTATTTCTGCAGACAAGATCAGTTATGTTGTAAGTTACAATCATGAAGTATTACAAATGAATACTTTTTTATTGGTATAAAGGTATATTTCACAACTGTAATCCAGGTTGCGTAATGCGTAATTCACGAGGGAATTGTAAAATATGGGACCAATAATGCTTGCAGATCATTTGTCACTGTAAATGGTCAAATATCCACATTCTTCATTCTCATTCAAAAAGTTAAATGGAAGCTGAAATGGTGAGAGACAAAAGAAGACAAACAACAACAACGCAAAAGAAAGCAAGTGGAGTACTTAGGGAGTGATTAATATGTATATATACATTTATATTCTGTTTAGGAATAATAGTTATTTTGGTGCACTAACTAACTATTCCCGTGATGCTAACTTTTATATTGTGTGAACTAATATTATTGTCCTGTGTAAAAATGTCCATCATGTCCTTCCAATAATATAAAAATTTATGATTGTAGTTTGTTGTAACTACACGTTTAGTGAACTTAAAATATCTATGTTGGGCGAAAAAGTGGGTGTAGGATTCAGACGCAGAAGTGCATTGTCATATTTGAGCAGTCTGGTGACTGAGGAGATGAACACTGCGAGTGTGTTTGCATCGCTCACATCAGCTGGTAGTCTATTCCAAATGACTGAAAACTTATTTAGGAAGAAAATATACCGCATATAAGTCTGACAATGCTCTATAGCAGCTAGGTTGTGATGATTTCTAAGACTGTAACTGATGACAGCGGTAGGTTTAATTATTGGCTCGGAGGAGTGCACGAGCAGATTAGTTAGCTTGTAGTAAAAAATCAGGTTTAGCTTAAGACGTCTTTTCCAGAGTGGTTCTAAACTTAGTCTGTCGCAACGTTCATAGTATTCGAGACCACTTTCTAAACCAAGAGTTCTTAAGGTAAATTGCCGCTGCAATCCTTCTAATTTAAGCTTGTCATTTTGCCTGAGTCCGCTAAGA